AAAAATAGCACGAAACATAATTCAAAATAGCATTACATAAAATTAGAAATATCGTTCTTATGACTTGATTTTTATTTGAATCACATCCTGGGTGTGTGTATATATGATATGGACAAGACACACTTTCTAATGTAATTCACAACCTTTAACAAAAAACTCGTCATATCATCTCATTTGCAGCAATCCCAACAAACAATCTAGGTGCTCCAATTACAACAGATAATGGGTCAAGAGCCACCCCTTACGACATGGGAGCTGGGGAAATCAACCTTTCTGACTCACTGAGTCCAGGGCTCGTCTATGAAACAAAAACTATTGATTACATCCATTTCCTTTGCAACCTTGGCTACAATGAAACCGCCATCAAAATTATCTCATCCACTGTTCCTGATAACTTCTGTTGCCCTGATAAGTCGGACCCAGATTTGATATCCGATATGAACTATCCTTCAATTGCTGTTTCTGGATTAAATACAAATGGGATAAGGAAAGTGAAACGAACCGTGACAAATGTCGGGGAAGTAGATTCGACCTACAAGGCCACCGTGGATGCTCCTCCTGGTGTGCAGGTTCAAGTGGTGCCGAGCACGCTTCAATTCACAAAGAATGTTAAAAAACTAACCTTTCGAGTCATATTTAAAAATGTTGATGCTTACTCTGGACCATTGTTTGGTTCAATTGTGTGGTCTAATACAAAATACAGAGTCCGAAGTCCTTTTGTTGCAAACATTGATTAAGGAGAAAAAAGCTTACGTGTATATCGAATATCAGCTTCCAACTCGAGATGTTTATGGCATGAAAATAAAATGACTAGCTATTATCTTTACATGAATAAAATATTAATTACTTTCTTTGAGTATTTTTTTATTTTATTTTTTTGGTTAAACGATATTAATATTATTAAACTCCAAAAGAGTACAGTCGATTGTCCACTGGTAATACAAATTGCATTTTCGTTTAATACATCAAACACAAAGGTGAAAGAAGGCTCGTACAAGGAAATTCACCAAGAGCCAGACATACTAGACAAAATGCTAGACACATCAATTCCCTACTGAGAGACAAACTACTCCCAAAATGGGATATACAAACACTACCAAAGAGAAACCAGAGACATAAAGCATAAAACACACACGCGCGCACACACATACAGGCATAAAAAAACTACAACTAAAACAACACAAGCACAAAATTATTTAAAGTCCCCCTTTCTTCCGCCTCACACAACATTGTTAGACTATCTTTATTCATAACCCAACCCAACCCAATTCTTTTAATAAAATACTCATTTCTCTCTCCTCCACTTATACAACCCACAACTCAATTCTATTTCTACTTTTATCCATGACACCAACCCAACCTAATATTTTTTATTTTCACTTTATTTTTAAATAAAATTAGATATATTAATTTGTATTAAATTTAAAACTAACAAAAATATATAATTATAATGTAAAAATATTACCGTTCATTTAAATAATAGATATTTAACTTAACAATAAAATAAAAATTATAAGAGTTCAAATATAAAATTAGAAATAAATAAACTGAGTTACAAATAGTTACATAAAATTACAACAGAAGTGAAAATTACATATTTAATTACGAGTTCCGAATTTTTCCCATATGTGCTCAATCAAATCATTTTGAAGAGAACGATGAGCTTCTCTGTTGCGAAGTTGATCCCTATTGATCATATAAGCAGATAAACTCGAAATGCGTTGTGTAGAGTAGTTGAGTTCAACATCTTGTGATTGGACTCTTGTAGGTATATCCGTAAGAAATTCTGTGGGATCATAATAGTTTTGGTATGTGTCTCGTTCATCCTCCACTATCATATTGTGCATAATGATACAAGCCATCATTATTTTTCCCATCACTTCCTTATCCCAAATGAGACATGGACGTCGAAGATATGCAAAACGAGCTTGTAAAACTCCAAATGCTCGCTCAACATCTTTTCTAGCAGACTCTTGTTGTTGAGCGAACAATTTGTGTTTTTGGGTCTGTGGAGCAGTTATTGACTTGACAAATGCAGCCCACGAAGGATATATGC